TTGATATCTGCAAAACTTGGCAAGGAGTCTCGGAGAGTCACGAACCAATGAAGCGAACTAATGGTCTCCTGCAAACTCCACTCCCCTGTTGCTCCCTCTTTTACTTCCTCTGGGAGGGGCCATTCACCGTCCACCTGTGGTTTTACTCCCAAGTCGACCCCTGTTCTTTAGCTGTTCCCTTCGCCTGGCAACTCTGCGCATGCGCACACTGGGAACAGGCTCCAGCTGTTCTTCTGCCTCGCTGATATCCGACTCTGAAGGCAGCCGATAACTGTCGGACGGCTCTGGCCCGCTCTCTGCCTCCGACACAGAGCCCTCATTGGACCCCTCCCCAGACTCCAGGACTGGCCCATCTTCCTCCCCAACCTCCTCACAGTCCGAATCTGCTTCCAGCTCCACTGGCCACTGGTGGGTCACAACACTTAGCTCTCAAAACACGATTCAGCCCAGAAGTCGGGTAGAAGCGTTTCAAAACTGCGGCAAGAAAGATCCACGACTTACGACCACAATGGAGCCCAAAATGTACGTTGTTAAGTGAGACATTTGTGGCAAGGGTTTTGCAAATCATTGAGTGGCCGTTCAAAGTTACAACATCGCTGGGAAAAAAGTGACTCTTGACCATGTTTCACACTTACGACCATTGCAGCACCTTCACATAATCAAAATTCAAGTGCTTGGCAACGGATTCATCGTTATGACGGTCTCATAGTGTCCTGAGTGACACGTGATCCCCTTTTGCAGCCTTCCGACGAACAAAATCAGTGGGGCAGCCGGATTCCCGGAACAAGGGTGTTATTAACAACGGCAGTGATTCACTTAACAACGGTGGCGAGGAAAGCTGCAGAAATGGGGCAAACCTCGCTTAGCACATGTCTCACTTAGCAACATAAATTTTGGGCTCGATTGTGGTGGGAAGTCGAGGGCTACGGGTATTGTGGATTTTTTTAATGTTGTAAGCCTCTTGGAGCCACTTAGGTGTTTTTTAATATTAATATGCTTTGGGCAGCATTTACACTTGCATAATAACTTAATAAAGTAAATGTATGGGTAGGATTTCTCACATGGGGCCTTGGGGGGCCCTGATGTGGTGAGTAGCAGCTTTTGAATTCAGGGCGAGATGCATCCTGTTCCACTCACCTTGTTTTCCCCAATCCTTTCATTTTGCAGGGTCTTCAAGAAAGCCAGCCCCAATGCCAAGGTAAGAGACCCCCCCTCACTTCATTTTTCAGAGTTTTGGGATGATGGAAATTGGCAGGCCAGACAATCCAGGGGGGGGGGGGGGGGACTAATCCAGTGGCAACACTTTAAACCAGGGCTCTCCAAAGTTGGCAACTTTAGGACTTGTTGACTTCATTTCCCAGAATCCCCCAGTCAGCATGGGTGGACTTCAATTCCCAGAATTCCCCAGCCAGCATGGGGGGGACTTCAACTCCCAGAATTCCCCAGCCAACGTGGGTTGACTTCAATTCCCAGAATCCCCCAGCCAGCGTGGGATGACTTCAATTCCCAGAATTCTCCAGCCAGCATGGCTGGAATTCATTTCCCAGAATTCCCAGCTGCACTAGGCCAGTGGTTCCCAAACTTGGCAACTTTAAGACTTGTGGACCTCAATTCCCAGAATTCCCCAGCCAGCGTGGGTTGACTTCAATTCCCAGAATTCCCCAGCCAGCATGGGTTGACTTCAATTCCCAGAATTCCCAGCTGCACTAGGCCAGTGGTTCCCAAACTTGGCAACTTTAAGACTTGTGGACTTCAACTCCCAGAATTCTCCAGCCAGCTCTGCATTCTGGGAGTTGAAGTCCACAAGTCTTAAAGTTGCCAAGTTTGGGAACCACTGCACTAGGCCAATGTTCCATATACCTACAGTATTCCACATTCTGCAAATAATATGTTGTACTGTGTTATGGACCTATGGAGTTGTGTTCAAGTGATGTTCTACTGGTTGAAGACATTTCCAAGGTGGGATGAAGCCCAGGAGACCATCTTGAATACTTAGAAGTCAGCCAAAGATCAGAACTTTTGAACCCAAACGCAAGCTGCAATACCTGCCCGCATCAAAGAGTTTGATCCTTCCTTCCTTCCTTCCTTCCTTCCTTCCTTCCTTCCTTCCTTCCTTCCTTCCTTCCTTCCTTCCTTCCTTCCTTCCTNAGAGTGAACAAAATAGAATAAAATAAGAAATCTGAATAGAATAGAATAGAATAGAATAGAATAGAATAGAATGAACAGAACAGAACAGAATTAGCATAAGATAGGAATAGGATAGGACAGGACAGAAAAGAATAGAATTAGAACAGAATAGAATAGAATAGAATAGAATTAGAATTAGAACAGAACAGAATTAGGACAGGACAGGACACAACAGAACAGAACAGAATTGGGAAGTTTTGTGGCAGAGGTAAAGCAAAGCAAATCAAGATAAAAGAAAGAGAAAGAAAAAGAGAGAATTAAAAGTTTCTATATAGTTTTCCTGCAAAGAAGGAAACTCAAAACTTCCCCCAATTGGCACATTTTAAGCACTTCCGGAGCCTCGTCCGGATGGGAGCCACGTAGATGTTGTTCACCTGGGTTGAGGGCGAAACAGGTTGTGTGAACACCGAAGTGGGCTTTTATTCACCTGGGAGGACACATCCGGGAAGCCAACTTCTCCCTGGCATCTTCACTTCCCGTGGAAAACCAGTCGGCGCCAAGAAATCAACAGGTGAACAAAATCAACGGAGCTGAAAGGGACCTCAGAGGTCTTCTAGTCCAACCCCCGGCTCAGGCAGGAAACCTCTCTGTACCATTTCAGACAAACGGTTGTCCAGTCTCTTCTTCAAAGCCTCCAGTGTTGGAGCACCCACAACTTCTGGTGGCAACTTCTGTTCCACTGGTTAATTGTTCTCCCTGTTAGGAAGTTTCTCCTTAATTCCAAGTTGCTTCTCTCCTTGATTAGTTCCCACCCATTGTTTCTTGTTCTACTCTCAGGTGCTTTGGAGAATAGCTTGACTCCCTCTTCTTTGGGGCAGCCCCTCAAATATTGGAAGACTGCTATCTTGTCATCCTAGTCCTTCTTTTCATTAGACTTAGTCCAGGGGGTGTCCAAACTTGGGAACTTTTTTTTTTTAAGTATTTTTATTAGTAAAAGAAAAATACAACAACCAATAGCTGGTAAAAGACAATACAACATCCACTGTTTTGCTTTACATTTGACTACATTTCAAAACATTCCCATAATCTCAAAATCATTATAGACATCAAAGGTTAGGTATCTTCTTCCCTCCCTCCCTCTTTCCTTCCCTTGT